GAACTATGGTGCTGGAGAAGAATCCTGCGAGTCCCTTGCACTGCAAGGCCATCCAACTGGTCAGTCCTAGAAGAGATGGCTGCTCTTCAGAAGGCCAGATCCTGAAGAGGAAACTCAAAGACTTTGGCCACCTAATGAGAAGGAAGAAGGACTCACTGGAGAAGAGCTTCATACTGGGAACGATGGAGGGCAAAAGAAGAAAGGGATGACAGAGAATGAGGTGGCTGGATGGAGTCACCGAAGCAGTCGGCATGAGCCTAAATGAACTCCAGAGGATGGTAGAGAATGGGAAGGCCTGGAGGAACATTGGGGTCGCGATAGGTCGGATGCAACTTTACAACTAACAACAACAATCACAAAGAGAAAGGCGTCAATGTGTTCTCCAAAGCACCAGAGAGAAGGACACGACATAATGGATGGAAACTTATAATGGAGAGATGCAAGCTAGAACTCAGGAGAAATTTCCTGATAGTGAGAACAATCCGTCAATGCCACCAGAAGTTGTGGGTGCTCCATCACTGGAGCTTTACAAGTAGAGATTGGACAACCATTTGTCTGGAATGTTACAGAGTCTCCTGCTTGAGCAAGGGGTTGGATTAGATGGCCTCCCAGGTCCCTTCCATCTCTGTAGTTAGTTAGTCTGCTGTGATTGACTGTGGGTCAATCCTAGGGTTCCAGTTAATAGATAAATATGATCTAATGGTTATAGTGTTTATCAAGAATCACATATACCCAGGTTTTACCATAGAAGCCAGTTTGGGCTGAGAAGAACTGAGCCACAGCTTTAAAATTGTTGGATAACGGCTAGGTTAGCTGTCTTGAACTCTTGGAATAAATTGCTCTAACCATTCATCTCATCCTGATGAGACATGTTCTCTCAGCATGAGAAAATCGAACGCTCCTGGGCTGGGAAGATCACAAAGAAAAGTGGTTGCGTTGATGGTGTCCTACTTTCAACGAGCCCTGATGGAAGGACACATTCTGGAAAGTTCAGCACCCCATGCCGAGTTTCCAAAGAGCAGCCATTGAGAGCAGGAGAAATAAATTTAAATTAAAAAGTCATCTCTCTCTCTTACTTTCCAGGAATCGTTTCCAGTGGCCTATTTCCTCCGCTCGTTTTCCATTTTTAGAACAAGCCTTTTCTTCTTTTCCTCCAGCGCGGACCTGCTGTTTTCAATCTACGGGGTTTTTTTTAATTTAAAATAAGAGCCGTCTGGAGCCTGTGTGTGTGTTTGGAAGGTTCCTGGAAACTGCAAGATGAGAGAGATCATCTGAATGAGGAAGGGTGGGGGGAATCTGCCAGCAGAGAATGCGGAATTTTTATCACTCTCTTCCTTTCAGATCGCATCTCTCTCTGTGGATGGATGGATGGATGGATGGATGGATGGATGGATGGATGGATGGATGGATGGATAGATAGNGGCTCTTCAGCTTTGAAATGGAGATGAGCACCGCCCTCTAGAGTCGGGAACGACTAGCACATATGTGCGAGGGGAACCTTCACCTTCACCTTACCTTGACTCGTAGGTCAACAAATGATAAAAACAAAACATGAAAACATTAGTGCCAGCAATAAATCATTCGAATGGGCCAGACCAATCCCTACCTGGGGAAAGAGCCAAATCTTTAATGCCTTTTAAAAGGTAGGCAGGGATGGGCCAACCACATCGCAGGGAGGCAGAGCAATGTTATTCAACAGAGAAGGGTCATCTTGGAGGTCCTGCCAGATGGCATTGCTTAAGTGATGGCACCCAAACCCTACCAGATTTTGCTGGACTGGTAGACATAATTGGAGATGGACAGACACACAGACTCTCCAAACCCCTTGCTATGAAGAATTGCCTATCAGGTACCGTTGGGTACTTCATCCTCTCTCCTCTCATACCTCTTGACAATAGATTTGGCTTTGTAGGGATGGATGGAGATGGACTTGACTTCTGAGGATGGTTGGACCATG